TGGCGCCGGCGGCGGCTGCTGCTGCTGGTGGTGGTGAGGGGGAGTGGGAAACTGCCCCATGCCCATCCGATGCGCGGGGTGGTGGTGAAGCCCGCCGGATCCGTCGGGGAATCGCCCGTGGTTCATGGCCATCATGTGGTCTGCCATTGCCCACCTGGAAAGTTAGCGTGGGAACACGTTAGGAAAAGACACCCTCGGACATCCAGCCACCCTCTCCCGGACCGGCTGCATCTGCCCGGCCCTGGGAGAAACGACTTCGCTGGTCCCGCCGTCCTCTTTCTCGGGGGAAAATAAAAATAAAAAAATCTCCCACCGCGGCTCCACCGCGGAGTACAAAAGAAAAAAAAATAAAAAGAGGAGCCTGCGGTACGAAAATCCCCGTCCCCTCCGCTAATCCGGCGAGCAACACGCCTTCCCACTCCAACTTGTGCATACCTATCAGCGGAAAGTGTTGCATACGGCAACAGCCGCCTCCTCCCCGCACGTTCAAAAGGCTCCCGAGCCCCCCGGCTTCGCCAGGGAAGGCAGCGGATTTCCACGGTGCTCTCGCTAACTTGCGGGGACCGAGCAAAGAGCTGGGAAGTCCCTCCTAGCCGCTGTCAGCAACTTTTGGAATTAAGTCCTAATTATTTTGGTAAAAATACAGTAACGCACAGTTAAGGAGGTAAAGCCAGGCAGCTGAGAAACACCTTTCCTCGCGTGTTTAAACAGTCCCATTTTTCCTGTTGCACACAAAAGGGACACCCAGCACCAGCTACGAGAACCGCCGCACTCACCTCCCGGTTTCTTTCTTCTTTTGCTTCAAAGGTGGCGGTGAAATCAGTCAGTAAAAGTCACCAAGCATAGAGAGGGTTTCCCCGGCTCGCTCCGCGCCGCTTACGTGACGGTTCTGTGATCGCTGCCGCAGCCCCAGAGCTGTTTTTCACTCCTCTGTGAGGCTCATCGGCACTTGCCAACAATGAGCTGTGTTTCTTCCCCAGCTTTGGCCACAGCTAATATAGGATTTCAGAAGGGAGGAGCAAAACCCTTACAGGCAACCAGAAGTAAAACCTGGAGCAAGCGAGGGGAAGGAGGAAAAAAAAAAAAAAAAAAGCGAACCACAACAACCCACCCCGGCACCCGGCGCGCACACGCGCA